CTAGGCTGACGCCACAGCACTCTAGCCTGGCCAACAGAGACTCTGTCTCAAAAAAAAAAAAAAATTAATTCCTTACTTCACTTTTCCCTACCCCAACCCAACCAAAGGTGAATTAGTTGATCTCCATTGAATGAAGTTAAAACTGTCCATTTAGGTATGGAGAAATGCTTATCAAGTATGATTTTAATTTCAGTATAATTGATATTGACCTCTACTGCTGATAACTAACCAGCTCTGATGGTAATTCCAAACTGCATAACTCTTAAGATTATTTCTAGCCCCAAACAGCAAAACCACATTTGCTACAAGAGCAATTAAAATGTGTCAGGTGTACATTCAATTATAACATGATTTTTATTTTTATTTTTTTAAAAAAAGCAAAATAAGAATATGCAACAAGAATAATTTAACAGTCTTGAGAATATTCACTACCCAAATAAACGAGTGGATGAGGCAAGATAATGTACAATATAACAAAATGTGCTAAATTCGAGGTTTATCTGGAACATTAAAGAAAAGCAAACATATAAAAAGATAGGACATTTCATTTTTAATTAGTCAAAAATGAAAAAGGTTCTGGACAATGTCAAATTCCACTCACCATAATGCTATTACATTATGCTATACATTAAATATAATTACTATCTATACATATGCAAAAATATAAAGTTCTATTTCATACAATAAAACCTTTTATAGAAACCATTTTAAAATTAAGTAGAACTTCTCAGCATTAATATGTGAGGTATAAGTTCTTCTAAAGGTTCCTTTAAAGGTTTTCAAAGAAAATGCTAAACCTAAAAACACTGTCCTTTCTGTCAGTTCCCAAATTAAATCTACTTAGAACAAAAACAAAAATTGATAGCTCAGTCACATACTACTTAAATAATATTGTTCAGGCATCTCTAAAATCCTCCATTTTTTCAAGTATGGAAATAGAACTCAAATATTTCACAATACAGTACTAAACAGATGGAGTATTTAGAAAAGATTCTGTTGTCATATGGCACAATATTAACGTTTTATTTCTTCAATACGTTTTGAAATAAATATCCTGTTTTTGTTGTTTTTCTTCTAAAAGGCCAAAATTATAATCTACATTAAGATAATCTGACTGTGGTAAGACTTAAGAGTGTAAAATACAACATCAATATTTTATCACAAAAGTAAAGCTGGTAACAAATTATAAAAGGGTCTGGTATTCTACTCAGACATACTCAGGGATTAAAGCTCATCATGATAGAAATAGTCATCATGGAGCTGTCTGCCATAATCCGTGGCTTCACTGGTAAGAAACAAGTCCTGGTTTTCCAGAATCTCTTCTTCAGAGAGCCTTTTGTCACCATCCAAATCCATTTCATCAATGAGATGAAGAGCCTTTAAAACAAAATAAAAAGATGTCAAGTGTAATAAGCATTTTCAGCAAGACGTTCACAATTTAATGTGACTTGACTTGTCAAAACCATCCAGTACTATCAAGTACTATGCAAGTACTATCACTGTCTAAGTATCTAAAAATATTACACATTGTTACTGGTTCTGTTTACTGCTGTTCTCATTAACTCCTTTCTTAATTTCTACTGCGTTCTGCCTCCTCTCCAGTCAAATCCATTCCAGGATATATTAAGGTAAAGCAAATTATTATAACCCACTTGGAGCCCCTATAAGTAAATAAAAATTATTATTCTATTCACTGTACTATCAAATTAATACATGATACAATCTTAATTTCCTCATCTCCCTGACAACTAAAACAGTTCATAAATTCAAAACATAGCAATGCATTAATCCTAAATAACTCCATTATTTCTTTCTTTGGCTTAAGATTTTGAACTTCTTTTCCTATCAACAGCACCAAATTTCTGCAGGGGAAGGGGTTGGGAAGAAATAGTCATTCTGTAACACTCACCTCTTCTTGTGCAATACCCTGATTATTGGGTACTACCCAAGATAACAGCTCTTGGGGATCAAGCCTGCCATCGTTATCTTTGTCATAATCATTCACGAATCTGTCTTTCTCAACAAGTATCCATTCTGGATCTTCACTTGCAGCTTAATATAAAAAAACACAAATATACATACACAAGAATATCATATGTATCCAATAAGAAGTTTGGTATATCCCTAGAATAAAGGAAGTGAATTTAAAGTTTACTACAAAAAGGACGCCCAATGGAACAGAATTACTTAACTGAAAAGTCCTGAAAATAGGTACAAATATATAGTAATTTTCAAAAGTGACACTTAAGTCTAAACAACTCATAGTTTTAAAATCATTGCATATTATCACAAACTAATAATTCTGTTAACTGCTGCTACTTGTTCTGATATCTAGTTTTCCCAAATGTAAGTTGGGTAATGTTTTTATATGTACATCATGTGACTATAAAAATCGTCCTACATGTTCTCACAAAGTAAACTGATGTGTAATTTTAAAGTGATATTCACAATATGTAAAACTGGTGACCAATTTTAAAATGGCATTGTTTTAAGCAACAATTCTGAAAAAAACCCAGCTGCTTATAGAAAGGCAAACTCCTAATTTCAAATAGTTTTTCATCTTCTATAGTTTACATCAGTATAGTATTTTGTGTTCCTTTCTCTTTTACGATCTATATGTGAAGGTACAGGATTCTGTTTAAAAATATCAACCATTACTTCCTTCCTCATTTGAATTGATAATTACATTATATTTGTTTGAAAATGAAGAAAAATGTTTGAATCTAGACGTGAAGGTGTAAGTGAACAAGACAGTATTCTCAGGTAAGCTATAAATCCATTTGTTGAACTCCTATTATAGTTAACTTAGCAGAACAAGGAGAAATCTCGCACAATTCCTCTTGCTACATTTTCCTGTCAATGAGAGCTCTCAGTGAGCAAGGCTGTCTTTCAATTGCTTTCTTCTTTAATTCCATTTTTTTCCTCCTTCCATATTCCCCCAGGTGACTTACTTGGATCCCGCCTGTAATCACCGAGAAATTCTTCCAAACTAACAAATCCATCACCATTTTTGTCATGTTCTTCTAAAGCCTCCTGAATGACAAATTCCTATTGCATGTTCATTAAAAAAAAAAAAATTAGTCACAAAATTTGGAATCCCACCACCATCTCATTCAATCTTACTACAGAACTTTTTTAGGAATAATCATTTCAGTCATCCATACTTTCAGGACAATTTTTCTAAACACTGGAATTTAGAAGCAAGAATAAAACCCCAAGTATTATACTAAATAGCTTTAAATTCAACATCCTTAAGCTTCTGGTTTGTGAAGAACTCCATTTTCACTCACCTAAACCGCCTCAGCATTAAACTCATGCTCCTATTTTCTGCATATACCCCTCCCTCTTAAGAATGACATCTCTGACTACAACTCCATTTGCCCTCCAATCCATTAACAACCCTAAAAGAACACTTACCTTAGGTCACTTTGCATAGAACTGTTGCCCTACCTCCAGATCTACAATGACAGCCCTCCAAAAAACCTCAACCTCCTTTGCTTCCTCTTCTACCAAACCTACCCCATCCATCCCAAACTGCCCCCAAATCTGTTCCTCACTCTTAGCAAGGCTTCTTACCAAACAACCAATCCTTTTCCCTGACCGCAAGAGTAGATGCTTTCTAGCTTGATGACCTGTTGGGCTGCTTTGGTACTGCCCTCACTGCCTTCCTATCTCCTCTTGTGCCATTTTCTTATGCCAATCCCCTTCCTGTACATCAGACCCACATCACTTTCTCCTTCTTTCTTCCAGAACCATAAAGTCTAAAAAGGAAGACAAAAAAACATAAACTTCATACTTATAAATTAATTTTTGCCATTTCAGTAGGCCCTCACTGCAGCTTAGAAGTCTGCCTCTGCCTCAGTTTCCTTAACATGCTCTCTACAGCTGCTTTTTGAAATCTCCACCTCTACTTTCTTTGAACCTCACTGCAACCCTCCCCAACACACACTTGCAAAGACCCTCCTACTTTTCCAAACATAATACAAGTCTTCTGAAATGCTTCCCTGTTTGCCAGCATTGCAGCCCCCACTCTTAGCCGCCTCGGTGTTCATGCCTACTCCTCTCGCCCTTCTCTCCAATCTCAGGAGTTAAAGCTCTCTCTCCTCTAGAGCAAAGCCCTTAACTGTCTTCCTCCATCCCAAACTGTACCACTTTCCCAGTGCTTTCTTTCACTCTTAGCTCCTGCCCCTGTCTAGCCTTCAATCTCTTCCCCTTCAGCTTCTTCTACTGCCTTGAAGCACATTCAAGTCCCCAGGACTTTGGGGCACTCTTCAACTACAATCCTGGTTCTTTCCTTATTCCCTGCGTCCCACAGGGTACACCTACCATTCTCATTTCCTCACTACCCACTGCCTCCCTCACAAGACCTTTCAATTCAGATTCTAGCATCACAACTGTAATGAAAATATACTCTCAAAAGTCTCCGATTCTAGACAAATCCAGGGGCTTTATCTATATTGGTATGAAACAGCACTTAAATACAAGTATTTTTTAAAACACAGCTAACATCTCTTCCGATTTTTTTTCTATTTTCTTTTCAAGTTGGTTTTTTAAATCATATGTTACAAATCTTATATATAGAAATTGGGATCCTAGTCTAGGGATCCAAAGATTAGTTTTAGAGGGAGTATCTGAGAATCCTCTAAATTTATAATTCAATATTTTATGTGTAATTTTTCTGGGAAAGAGTCCATAGTTTCTATCATATTCTTAAGGGAGTCTGTGATCCAACGAAAGTAAAGAACCACTGATCAAAATGATTATTCTCCATTCAAATAATCCTCTTGGGAAACAATAGACTTATTTCAATAATGCTGCCATGATTAAATGAATTTTCAGAACTACGTAAGGGAAAATATCAAGTTAAATTCTGACTTTTAATCCACAGTAGAATCACTTAGATGATCTTGTACTCTTGCCTTTTCCTATAATATATCCTTCAAAGGGAAAGAGAGATACACAGAAACAATTAAGGTAAACAGGAATTAAGGAAGCAGCTCCGAATGAGACATCACTTTATGGTCACACATCTTACATGCTGCCATCGACTTGAACACAGCACAAAAAGCACAATCAAGTAGAGCCATCCTGACATACCCATTCTGTCAAAGGCACTATCTTTATCATTGTTACACAAGCCCAAAACCTCAGGGTCATCTCCGACCCTTCTCTTCCCTTCCCTTAATACTTATTTAGTAAGTCAACATTCCTGTTTATACTTTCTTCAAAATGTTGCTCAAATCTATTTCATTCCATTGCTGTTTTGTACTCCAGGGCCATATCACATGATGTCTAAATTATTTCATTGCTTTTTCTGGTCATTCAATTGTTCTTCAGTCTTCAATTGTTCCCTATCCTCCAGACAATCTAGATCTAGCATACTCTGCCTGCCATCCTAGGGCTCAATTAGCTTGTCCCAACTTAATTTTGGCACTAAATCATGCCCAGCACTGTTCTTAAACTAGGCCATGTATTTTGTGCCAAGTGAGAAATAAGAAGCTTCACAATGGCAAGAGAATGGCAGTATCTTGCCACTGAGCTATGGAGAAACATGTTTCTGCAGCCTTTTTATTCAAGGCAGCAAGTCCCAACCGTGACTCAATAAACAAAGAGCTACATCTTCCCTTCCTAAAATACCCACGGAACCAAGCCACACAGCTGGAGGCTGATGCCATGCAACAGATCTCAATATAAATGTTTAGTCTCTTTTTTGCTGTTACATTAACAGTCACACTGCTCCCCAGTGTGACTGTTTCTGCCCTGAAGAAGTTGCCAGATCATAGTAGGGACTCAATCAATGTTGAGTTAAACTTAGAATTCAACAAAAGTTTTGAAGAGTTGGTACTTCTTTTAAGTACTAAAGGGTAAGAGGACTCATTATGTCTAAACTTGCCAAAACATTAGTAGTTATTAGCAGCTGCATACCCCACCACCCTATGAAAAGTGATCCAAACATGATGTGTTTTTCCAGACCAAAAGCTTTCACAAGCGAGACCATAAATTAAACAGAAGTTCTAGTGTTACTAACATTGAAAAACCAGAGAAAGTCTGAAAGTTACAAAAGGGTAAGGCAGTTAAAGGTAGTGCAGCTATGAGAGAAAATAGCCAGAGGAAGTTGTTCACATACAGTACAGAAATTAAAAAACTCAGTCCTTCACCTTCTCCCTCCCAATAAAGAACCTTGCCACCACCAGAAACCCTCCTGACCACTCCTAATCTTAAGTGAGGATAATTTTGAATCCTTTTGAATCTTCCTGTCTCTTAAAATTCTGATTGTTATATAATTCATTTTAATGACTTAGTAAAAGATTTTGAAGGTTTGGTTACTCAATAATTCTCTTACGATTTTCTTCCTTACCGTCATATAATAAACTTCTTCAGGATGCTCAAAAGCAATAAATTCTTCAAGATTTAAAGCAGGATCTGAATCTTGGTTAGCTTTTTCAAATCGTTTCTTGTCCTTTAAATGAAGCTTTGAAAATTAAAAAATTTTGAACATGTTTAAAGGTATCATTAATGCCATATCACTTAAAATACTTTGAAAAATACAAACTATGTGAATTTTAAAGTACATTCTTATACATTATCTCATTTATCTTCAAACCATCCCTTTGAAGGTAGGTTGAGCAAATAATAACAAACATTATCTTTGTATTATTTGGGGAGTACAGAGACACAAGCTCTAGAGTCATATAGACCCAGATCTGAATTCCAGCAATGTCACTTACTAGCTGTGGTACTCAGGGAAAACGGCTTAACCTCTCTGTTTTCCTCATTTATAAAACTGGGATAAAACAACTTCTATTAAAGCAATTGGGATAAGAATCCCTATCCCACAATTAATAAACATTAAGTATTTAACGAGTGATGTATATTACCATTATTGATAAGAAAAACTGAGATTAAATGATTTGATTAAAAGTCAGAAACATAGCTAAAAAAATAATACCAAATGTGGGTCCTCCCTGTTCTTTCTACAGTACTATTCAGTATTCCTTAATAATTAATCTCAATACTTTTTTGAATGACCAAAAAGCAATAAATTCAGACCATGTATTAAATCTTGACAAGGCTTTTAAAATTTGTTGCTGAGGCCAGCACGGTATGCCTGTAATTCTAGCACTTTGGGAGGCTGAGGCACGAGGATTGCTTGAGCCCAGGGGTTTGAGGTTGCAGTGAGCTATGATGACAAGCTGCACTCTAGCCTGGGCAACAGAGTAAGATTCTGTCTTAAAAAAAAAAATATGTTTCTGCTCTTCTAAATGACTTTTCAAAAGTACATTGTCATGTTTCAGAAAAATAGTCCTCTTATGTTGAGAATCTCATACTATTAGTATATGTACCTAATATTTGGAAGCCTATTCTGAGTAGGCTCTTTATAGTGCTAATTCTGTATGTTCAGACATAAACACATCAAAAGTTTAAATGGATCCATTATGAGGCCAAATAAACACACCTCCTTTTCTACTTTCTCTCCCATCATCTTCTCCTTCTTTTTTTAAGTATGCTCAAGTAGTAAAATGATTCAGGAGCTATTAGGAACAAGGCTGCTTTTGAT